TAATGTATCAAAAATCCAGTGTCTATGTTTAGTCCCTGATCTCTAGTATCCAGCAGGTTGATGAAATGGAGCTCATAGGCTCGTCTCTGGGATGTGTTTTATAAATTTCCCTTTAGGGTCAGGACTGAGAGATTGGAGAGAGAGTGGCCCTCCTGTGAGAAATGTGCCCCCACCGGTAGTTGGGTGTTTCTGTCTTTGATGGATTTCCGGTGTGCATTCATTCTGGTGCGCAGTTGTTGTCTGGTCTCTCCTACATATCTTCCATCAGGGCATTTGGTGCATTGGATGAGGTATACTACATTCCTGGAGGTGCAGCTGTAAGATCCTGGGATGCTGATGGCTCTGTTGTGGGGTGTAGTAATAGTGGGGGTGGTGGAGATGTGGGGGCAGGTTTTGCATTTCTTGTCATGGCACGGTCTGGATCCTTTTGGTGTGTTCTGGGCTTGAGGAAGTTTGCTTCTGGTGATGAGGTTGGTGAGGTTTGGTGCTTGTCTGAAGGCTAGGATGGTGTCGCAAATCAGAGCAGCAGCTGGCAGCCGCCTGACTCACACCAGGGTGTTTAGATTTTAGAGCTCGCAGGCGGGTAATTGATGGATGGAGTGGAATTAACCAGGCACAGACACGTGTAGGTTACAGGAGTTTGTTTACTTACGTCGCCTAGATAGTGATGACGACGCAGGCGAGCCTTTGTTCCGTTACAGCTTCGGTTACAGAGTTGAGTACACGCACGCAGTCAGGTTACAACGAGATAATGACGGACGTGGCGCCGGAACAAACGGTCGGGCTTGCAAGACTTTCTACGTCAATATTTTACACTGACGGGGTGATTGATTAGGAATTGATCAATTTCCCAATTCTCTGGTGACAAGCACAGGTGTTTCCTGTGAGATCCCCAGAGCTCTCCGCCTTGGGTGCAAACCGTTAAACTATTTATAGGCAGAGGTGTTTTACAGGAATATCCAATGGTGAACCGTTATGTGGAATCTTTAATTTTTGGCAGGTGGCAGCTCTTTGTCTCCTCAAGTTACAAGGTAGTGGGTTAGGTTTCTCTACCTGTTACGTGTGTGCTACGTGTGAGGAGCTTATGCTTATTTTTGGACCAATTATTTATAGTTTCCCCTAGCATTTTATTTCAGCTGACCAATTATCTATAGTACTCCGGCCGCGTTTTGTTTCAAGGAATTTTTGGCAGGGATGTCTTTTAACCCTTAATCGTCAAAATGAGGATGATTTGAATGGTATCTCTCGCTCAGTGGCATGGGCACAATTTAATTGGGTTGTGACAGCATGCAACTCCAAGGAAGATGGGATGAGTGCAAGATGTGGGTGTAGACATGCATGTGCTCATGCAAAACTAATTACACATTTCAAGGAACTCTACTTATTGATAAGTAACTTCTCTTGTCTCCCTTGAGTGATTTTCCATAGGCACAACATGACTACAGGTGACTCTAAAGTGGCATTTGCACACCTGGAGGTGGGTCTCAACATTTCTAGCCCCATGGGTTGCGTGAGTATCACAGAGACAGTCCACAGACTGGAACCCATGCACAGAGCAGCCTAGTCTGCTGGCCCTGCCCCCCCACCACTGGATCCTGCACATGGAGCAACACTGTGTACTGCTAGCAACTTTCCAGACCCATGGGTCAGATAACATAATTCCAGAGACTGAATTCAGCCTGCAGGCCAGAGGTTGAGCTCCACTGCTCTAGGTAAATAACTGAAAGACTCCACTTTACTAAATATGGAAAAGTTACGAATGGATTTCCGCATGGTCACCTTGCAGATACATATCAGTTAGAATTACAGGAGATAAGGGATGAAAGGGTCCTCATGAGGTAGTCTAGACCAGCCTCCTGCTCAAGGCAGGATCATTTCCAACTAAACTATCCCAGCCAAGCATCTGTCTATCCCACTCTTGAACATTCCCAAGGATAGACATTCCAGGTAGTTCCAGGGAATGTCTCTCGGTAGCCTGTTTCAATGCCCGACAACCCTCATAGACAGAAAGTTCCTTC